CCCCAAATTTCTGTATTCATTGAAGGCAAAATAATAACATTGGAGCCTTGTCAAAATCTGATTTGTATTTTATGTTTATTTTGAATAAGAGTATTATAATGATAATTTTAGCACATTTATTCTATCTGTTGCTGAGTTGATGTAGCTGGAATCTGAAGCTAAGTGTTTATTTTCTGCACTGAATTTATTAGTTTGAACAGAATAACAATGTTAACAATTTTTTTAAGTATGCCTAATGTGTGTATAATCTGTAATTACCTGCCCACTATTTTTGTCAAATTTAGAATTACTACAGTTGCAGTAGGAATGTTTTAAGACTTAAGAACAAAAGAAGATATGTTTTGGGAAGGAATTTCGTCTTCTTAAATGGTGTACTTTGTTGAAAATATTGTGATTTAATGAAAAATAGTGTCAGCATAGGATATTCCGGCCACCTCCTCTCCTGAAATTTTTCTCAATTGCTTTAAAAATAATTCAATAGCAGTATTGATTATAATTTATGTTTTAATTCTGAAAAGCTGCCTTTATTAGGCAAGAGACATTTACACCTGGATACTTAGGAGGCATTTAAATAACTAGCCATTTAAAATTACTAACAGGTAGGAGCAGATGGCTAGTTGTCTTTATTTGTGCATGTGGACACTTTAGAACCATAGATGTCTTTCACAAGATGGATTCATTCAGGTTGGTCTGTGCAATATTTGCTTCTGAGAATCAAATTTATATATTTTTGGTTTTTTAAGGGCAAAGTTCTTAGTATTCATCAACTCAATTGATTTAGCATTGCTGCAGTGAAAAAATTGTAAACGATGGCTAGAAAATTTTACATTCTGAAGAAAAAATTTGTTCTCTTAGAGCAGTAGGTATTCAGGGGAGCAAGTAAGTTGCTCAGTAGTTGAGAGGCTAACTTGTGTTTTATTTCTCAGTGTTGGGCATGGAAAAGCTTTCAAGTGAAAGACATAAAAACAGTGCTAATCTGAATATTAAATAGGAATTTGTAAAGGTCTTCTGTTTGTGGTGGATTTTGCTGAGAATATTGTTAGTGGTTTTGTGCACTGTAAACGTTTCTAAGGGAGATTTGGATGGAGTTAGTGGACTAGGGGAGGTCATTCAGAGGTGGAATGCAAAACAGGCCACTTCTGGACTTCTGTTCTTTATGCCAGACCTATTTTGCAGATATGTCAGACTGTCTTTCATACACACAATAAACAGTGCTTTGGAAACAACGACTCAGTAATTTTAGATGACACTAATAAGACAAGTTTTTGCTTCCTCTTCCATCCTCACTGTTTTGGATTTTCAAAATTGAATTTCCAGAATTCAGTTCCAAAACTGAGTTTGCCTTAACTGTTTCTGGTGTCAGTTTAAAATAACAAACCTTTCTTTTTCTCTTCCTCTTTTTATTTCAAAGTAATAGGGGAGTTCTGTAGGCTATAATTCATTCCTCCAAATCATAAAATTAATGATATGTCTCATATATAGAAGAGGTGAGTGTGAGGTGGTAAAATTTGTGCCTTAAACATCAGGAGATTTGTGTAGCACTCTCTATGTTTATAATTGTGCCAGAGACTGATGTGAATTAAAAAAAAAAAACAAAACAAAACCCAAACCAAACCTCCCTACAATTTAAAAATAGCTAGATAAGATCTGGTTTTAGATCAATTTTTAAAAATATATATAATACTTCTGTTTGAATTTTAAAATGTCAGTAATTACTAGAGAAATGTCTAGACTGAAATAATTTATTTTTAAAACCCTTTCACTTAAGTTGTAATATGTGTTAGAAGGTTAAGTTTTTAGGTTTGGGGTTACTTGGTTTATTTTTCAAGTCAGTGCCTGGAATTTATGGAAGTTGAGAGTTAAGGACAGAGCTAACTTCACAATTAAACTCTGATCTATTTGACAGAACTAACTCTCTTCCATCATCAGAGAGAATATTTTTCATTGCTTTAGTGGAGTCTACAGAATTAACTCTGTAATGAGAAAACATTTTAATGCATACTTTTAAAATTCTTCATTGATTCCTTCAGGTGGCTGACAGGAAAGATTGTTTGCTTACTTCATGTCTTTCTTTTTGTCTGTGTGTTTCCTAAGCAAAGGAAGTGACTGATAAATGTGCAGTTGTGTAGTTGCAAGCATTGCAGGTGGTCTAATTCATCTTTGCAGGCCAAGTGATCTAGTGTACAAGAAATGTTTAATCTCTTAAAATGGTAATTAAACAGATGATATTTAACAATTCTTTTTATTAAAATTAATTTTTAAATGTTAGCTGAATGCAGATACAATGTATTAGAGAAGCATTATCTAACAGATTATTTTTCTGCAGTAAAAATTAAAACATTTCTTACCTGAGTAAATTGTACGCTGTATATTTAACTTTTCAGAGACATAATGCACCTCGCTGTTTGGCGTAATTTTATTCTCTCTCCCCTCAACTCTGCTCATATTAACTTTATTTTACAACAGTTATTAGAGGACTATAGAGCCAAGCAATATTATAATTTATTCTTTAAATCAAGACTTTTTTTCTTTATGGTTAATATATATTTTCTTTCTGAAGCCAGGTAGTTCATCTGGTGGACATAGTGTTTTTACAGGGATGTGTCTTATAAATACACAGTTAAAACGTTCCAACTGGAACTTGGCTGCATGCCAGTATATCTTTGTGCTTACACTTGGTCCAATTTATGTCTTTCCAATGGAATATTCTCACTCTAAATTGCATTATTGACATCCTAAAATAAATCACTTCTGGAAAATATTAAATATTCATGAGAAATGAAAGCATTGTATCTTTACAAATAAGACTTTTAACACAAAAGTACTAAATAAAAACTCCAATGCTTGATGCTGTTTCAGATTTATTTTCTTCCTTTTTTAAGTTTGATTCCTTAATGCTATGCATTCATATTTAATATGATGATGATATATATTCAAATTTAGATTTACATACCTCATGCCTGTGTGTATTCAGGGGAGAAAAATAAACAAAACATGAATGAGAGCCGTCTTATATTTCCTTTGTATCTTAAATTGGACTGTATTAGTTAAAATGGAAGGTACGTTCCATAATTTCCATTTGTATAGACTTAGTAAATATGTTTCGTATATAAGGATCTCTGCACAACTTGTTAGGGTATCACTCTCAATTAAAATTCAAAAAAGAAACTTGGTAGGGTTTTACTGAGAATTTTTTGCTGGGAACAAGGTTGTTCCCTTAGAAAAACAATAATTTTGAAATGCTAAAGTATTAAATGCTCTGTTTCTCCTGTGTGACTTCCTTGTGAGAGAAACCAGCATGTCAATGTTGGCTGAAAAAATAATTTAAAAATAGCACTTAGCTTTATTAGTGCTCTGCGTAATTTTTTCTACTTGGATTTTGTTTCATGAAGCCCCTAAAATGATAAAAAACGATCACATCAGGTTTGAAAGAATTACACTGGTTTTATACTTTAAGCTTTCTATATTATTTATCTTACGGGCTTAAAATCCTGAAGGTTCTTTGTCTTTTCTTTCTGGAGCCACTGCATATCTGTTTCTACACGTTAGAGCTTATAATTACTATTCTGTAGCTCACGAGAGTTGGATGCGGCTTCCACGTCAGTGGACTACTACTCTCCATTGTATACATAGATGCCTCCAGACTCTGTGCCATGTCTCTGAAGTGAGATGGATGGTACTCTTCTGCGCAGGCTTGTCCATGCAGGTCTTTTTTGTTCTATGGCCTATTGTCCCATGTTATTTGGAAGTGCCATCTACTTCGCCATCACAACTTCCAGACCAAAGCCCATTTAAGAGTGTTTAAGCTTGGCCTTTTTATCTGGGTTTGTATATGTGTCATTATACACAAGTATGTATGTGCTATGGAAGTTAACGTATGCAGAGGATGACAGTACCTAATAACAGCTTGTGGTGTCTCAAGTCACCATCTGGGCAATCCAGAAATGAGCTGAGCAAAGGCTCAATTCACCTTTTGGATTTTGGCACTTGTCACCTCAGGTTAAATTCTTAGTTTGATAGCAAAAAGAGGTCAGACATTTTTATCTGAGGCCTAGCTGACTGTAAAGTGTCTGTTATTTGTGCATGGTTTAGGTTTTTCTGTTCTTGAATGGTGTAGTGGTTGCTTATGACAAAGTGCAGAAAAAAATGTTTAGCTCGCATTGATTTGTGATGCATAGTTCAGAGAAAGAGTTTGTTCCTGCTGGAGAGAAAAATGGTAATGAAACTAAGTGCTCCTGGAACTAAATTGCAAGCTAATTTATTTCGCTTGACTGTCTCATAGAAATATTTAAGGAAAAATTAAGGAAGATTACATGCCTAATTTGTTTGTATTGAATTAGTGTGTGAGCTAGCAGTTTACCGATGGGTAAGGAAAGAAATGGTGATAGGGCAGAAGATTGTGACTTTAAATATTAGGAAATCTATAGTATATAGATACTGGATTATCACTAAAGCTGTGGTAATCTGGATTTGTGGCCTGGTGATGGTATTTTGGAAGGTGCTTTTTCTGTTTGGTGCCTTTATTGGTTTTTGAATATATAACATCCTATATTGCAGTATATCTCCAATATAGTATTCAGATGATATACAATCATCTGAAGATTGTTTGTATTAAAGCATTTATTTGTTCCTAAAATAATTTATTTGATTCTTAAAACTGTGTTTAAAATTATCACTATATTTTTGTCTTTAAATGTAGTGTTTATGATGCAGCAGCACTGCATTATTATTATGTGTTCATTATGTTAAAATGTCCTATTCCTCCATAACAGACAAAAAAAAAAAAGCATTATTTAATAAACTAGTAAGCTGAGTCATAAGAATTTGTATCTTTGCAGATAATTTTGTACTCTGTATTTTCTTTTTAAGGAACACAAATTGCTCTGAAGGGCATAAGATTATGAGAAAAAGATGTTTCCTTTAAAAGACACTGAGATGGGTGCCTCCACCTTCTTTGCCTCAGCTCTGCCACATGATGTTTGTGGAAGTAATGGCCTTCCTTTGACACCTAACTCCATCAAAATTTTGGGGAGATTTCAAATCCTTAAAACAATCACACATCCCAGGCTTTGTCAGTATGTTGACATTACCAGAGGTAAACATGGTGAGTATCGGTTTAACAAGGCAATTTTATGTGTGGTTACAGTTATATTTTTGTGACAAGATATCTAAAGGTGTCTGAGCAGAATATTGCCTTTATAGCACCAAGAAGTGGCTGATTTTCGGTCTCAAAATGACTGTATTCCTTTGCTGTGACTGGCAATACTGGTGCTTTTGTTTCTCCTCTGCAGAGTTGAGGCAGATGTTAGTTGTCTGTCCTCTTTTGTTATATGCTATGTTAACTGATAAAAGCTAAGAACTTTTTTCTTTTTATACCTCACTGTAAAATTCTTGTACTCAGTTGCTCTGTCATGTCTTTCTGTGGGACCCTGAAATACACCCATGTTCTAATCTGGTGAACGTTTTCATATGATGGTTAGGTTTCCTGTGCTTGATTTGTAGCTGTTCTTGTTCTCTCAGTCATCTCATGTCTTGGCTGCAAGCTTCCCTTATTTTATTTTATTTTATTTTATTTTATTTTTATTCTAGCTCTTTAAGATCTCTCCCACTAACAGTTATTTTAGTACAGATTTATTTTTTTTTTTAGTAACTGGTATCACATGTATTGTTACTTCAAGTAAGGCTTCTGTTGTTTTTTTTTCTGCTCCGGATGATCTTATTCTGTTGCAAGCTCATCAGGAGTATGGCACTTAATTTCCACAAAAATACTGCAACGCCTGTGACAATTTAAGTGATATCCACCTTTAACTTAAATCAACAATATTCCCATATAAAAGTGTATTGTATGTATTTGATTAGCTACAGGGTCTCATAGAGAAAGTAATTTTTTCCCCTTTAGAATGTGATATGATAGGATGCTTCAGATTTTTAAAAAATGAGAAAACTGTAAACTCCAAACACTGAAGCATTCCATGGGAAGGGGGATTCTTTGTGTGATTTCATTTGTTCTTAAACTTTTAAAGTTTTCATTTTCTGCGGTCAGGAGATCTAGAAAGTTTATTAATTTTCATCTTCTTGAAACAGAAACTGGGATTTTCTTACAATACTGTTTAGGAGGAAAGGTTAAGAAACTACCTAACATAATATTTAGTAAATTAGAAGTTATGGTTAAATAGGAAATTTGACAATAGAGTTAGATAACAAGATTCTAGCTTTAAGCTTTGCAACATATGGGACCCCTGCAAGTCCTATAGCTATTTGTTGGGCAAGAGGTACTAGAGCTAGTAATGTACTAGTTGGCCCATCAGGACTAAAACTCCTGTGCTCAGTCTGAGACCCTTTTCTCAAAGCTGGTGTTACTGTGAGACTCTCATCAACCCAGCTACAGAGTCCTGCAAATTTGTAGATGCTTGTCACTGAGACCTCATTTCTGAAGTCAAATCTGGCTGACACTGGCTGAGGGATTCAACATTTATTAGGGGAGGGAGGGATGGATGGATGGATGGATGGATGGATGGATGGATGGATGGATGGATGGATGGATGGACGGACAGTGCTTTGCATGAGGAAACTGGGAGGATAATCTGCTGTATCTCATAAATGAAAATGGTGGTGATATCCAGAAGTTGCACATATTTAACACTTAATTATGTGTAGTTGTCCATACAGTGTATGCCAAAATATTTTAACATTTGCCAGATAGCTAGTCTGAGAAGTTTGCACTCCCATTGTCTCATTAGGATTCTAGTCCTCATACACGCTTTGTTTTTTGTGTTTGTGGGGTTTTTTTTGTTTGTTTTGTTTTGTTTTTGGTTTTTTTTTCCCCCAATTAGAGAGACTGGTTGTGGCGGCTGAACACTGTGAAAAGAGTCTGGAAGATTTACTACGAGAGAGAAAGCCAGTCAGGTAAGGTGTCAAGCTGGATGCAAATCTATTCACCATAATTTCATACATCACCTGTAGCAAATTCCCAGACCTTTTTTAACTTTCCTTGGTTTATATAAATTTTACTGTGTTAAAGTTTAACCTGAAGACATTGTTTATCAGATAAAACACATGCCTAAAAGAGGGAGTTCTTATTTCCATACGACTCTAAAAGCTGTAGTAGTTATGGAGCACTTTTTTACTACTGAAGTACTTTGTAACTCGTAAAATCTTGTCTGTCTGGTACTAGTAGTTTTGGATTTTCTTTTTAAAAATAAAACCAGTCCTATGACAGGGTAAGTATCTTTGAAGATTGTATGCCTGCCAGATGAAATATAACTTTCACTAGAAAGAACAGAATTTGATGTGTGTTTTTCATATACAGAAATGTATTAATTTATTAACTAGAAAGTGGACAGGATGTCAAATACATATGCCAGGGTGCTAATACGTGATTTGAATTTTGCTTACTTTAGAAAGGCTTTGGTCAAAACCAAGCCCAAAGACTGGATATCAAGAGTATTTGCTTTCATACTACGATATGTAAAATAGTTGTGTTATATCTTTAAAAAGAAGCAAACAGACAGAAAAAATCCCCATCAGACTTGTTGCTAAAAGTGGTAACTGTAATTTTCATCTATCACTCTTACTTTTGGAGGAAAGTGGGCTCTTGTCCTAATGAATATGTAACACAGAAAATGTGAAGAGTGGAAGAAGAGAAATGTTATTTCTATTTGGGATAGGAAGGCATTGTAGGCTAACTGACTGTTTTCAGAACACACAAATATATAAATATAAAACACATCTAGAAAAATCCAAAGTCTCTTCATTCTAGTTTCTGAGAAGTTTATAGCAAGCGTTAGGTTTCATCTCATGTAAGCATAGAGAAGATGATTACTCAATAAAATAATCAACAAATTTGTATGTGTCTTCCCAGTTAACATTAGGCATCTCAGATGTGTTTGATAAAATACTCTCCAGACAGACTGCCAGTGACTTATCCCAAATTAGATTTGCATAAATGTAGTAATACTGGATCTGTAGCTTTTCGAGCCTTGCAACCCCTAAATAGTATGTTAACAATGTTGTCTGGCAGAGATAAATCTAAATGCAAAATGCCCTGTGCCTGTGTGTTAGCTTTTTGTGAACCTACGCTTGTATGGCAGTATTGTGTTGCAGAGGACTTAATAGCTTGAGGAATGTTAGGCAAATATGGCTTACCTTTTTTCTTAAGATAGAGAGTATTTAGGTGTAAAGGGTGATCATGTGATCATACAGCCCTTCACATAGTTTTGTATTAGGCTCCTGTTGTGAAAAGTTCTAGAAATAGTTAAAGCATTAGAAGCTCCTTTCTTTCCATTTTCATTCAGTTCTCACACTGTTCTTTGGACGTGTGTATCTGGTGTCAGATGAGAAGCAGCCCAGGCTGTCTGCTGCCTCCTGACTGTTTTTGTAGCTATTTTAATTTGCTTTGAATTTCTTGATACAGTATACTTAATGTAGATTCTCTGACAACTTCTGTTGTAATTTAATTCTGCAGCCTTAGAACTGCAAGGGGCAAGATGTCCTTTCTTGAGGGGGGGAAAAAAAAAAAATCAGGTATTTCTCTATCATAATTCTATGAACAAAACTTTTTCAAATAATAGTTATGGTCTGTATGCACATCCATTATGTCCATCTATACTACCATGTGTTTTGTGGCATTCAGAAGGATTTTTGAGTTTTTTAGATAGTTTTCTAAGGTATGGAACTTTGTTTTTTAACATACTGAGATAAGTTTGCAACTGTAACCTCAGCTCATTAGGCTGTGGCTCTGTTGAGAGTAAATGCATAAAGCCTGGCTTTATTTTTTCCTCTTGGCTTGAGAGGGTTTTTACTGAAATAAGTTAGTCTACTATCTGATCTTTCTTTTAATGAGCCAATTGGGATTTCTTCAGGAAGTTGTAACACCTGAGGTATAGGGCTATATATGTAAGTTCATAGCTTTATGAGACATTAGTGGTTCATCTACTGTAAATTACAGCTTTTGCAGTAGTAATTAAAATACATTATGTTGACTTCAAATGAAGTTTCTTGCAAGACTGACATTTTCCATCTACTTATATTTTTTAAATGAAAACTGACATTTTTGGTTCTTATGTGAGACCCATAAATTTCCAGAAATAACTTAGATGGACCAATTCCCAGTTATTGGTTATGTGATCTGTCTATATCAATTACCTTTGGAGGGAACTATTTGGCTTTTTCCATTTATTCTGGTTGCATAGCTGGTTACATATCCGGAGTTCATGTGTATGCTATTGTAATTAATTTTATAAACTGTTTATGGAATGTGAGAAGCTGCTCTTCTGGTTTCTAGATTAATTTTCCTTACGCTTGCCAGTAACCTAAGTCCTTTGCACCTGTACCACAACTCGATGTAAAATCAGCAGGAAATCTTCTATTTTGTTAGTGCTGAAATTCAAGACATTACATTATGGACTGTCTATCTTTCCATACATACTGGCAAACAGGCCATACAGCTGTTTGGTAGTTATTTGCAGTTAATCTTTCCTGAAGTCATGCATCACATGGAGCATACGTTCCTTATTATATGAATTATATCCAAAAAAAGAAAGGCAGTGGAGTTCTTTGTTCAATTAACCTCAGAGTTTCACCATATTTTCTAATTCTAATGAATCAGTTGCACATAGGGGCCGAACACTGGGAATTAGAACTCTAAACATTTACCGTGTTTTCATAGTGCAGTAAGTCATTTTACTGAGCATACCACCAAAAATTTTGCGGAACTCGAATTTGTGATATATTCAAGAATTTAATTATTACCTAATGATACAGTAACAACAGTCTCCAGGGTGAATGACAAAGATGGTTTGTCATTGTCCTCAAAGTCTACATGCTCAACTTCACTTTCAAAGGGTAATGCAAGTAAGTGTTTGGTAATTTGTATCCAGATTGTTTTCTTTTGAGTGATGCATATTTGAGATCCTAGAAGGAGCATTTGCTGCTGTTATCAGGTAAATTTCAAGAACTCTCGAATGGATGAAATGAGTTGGCACTTTGCAGATCTTACCCTAGGTAATCACAAGCAGAAAAGGAATTTAGTTTAGTGTTTTCTGTATTTTATTCAGGGGATAGCCATGTGGACATCGTAACTACAATCAATGCTTCTAAAAATAACATTAATTCCTACTTTTCTTTACTGTGCTTCCACAGGGCATCACAATAACATCAGGGGAGCTCTTTGGAGTTGTGTGCCACAGGGAACTCAAGCTGCAACCATGGAGAAGAGTTTTAGGATAGGACAGGGTGGGATAAGAATTTTAGGCATTGATGTCCCATTTTTTACCAGATCAGTCTTCATTGTCCTCTCTGTGAGAGACTGTAGTCTGGGTCATTGTCTCCTGCTTTGTTTATTCCCTGTTTATTGTCCTGTTTGTTGTTACTCTGAGTCAGAGAAAGTATGCACTGAATTTTAGTTTGTAACAGTCATATTAGTGCAAACACAGCTCTCTGAAGTATGTTTAGGAGTCAGTTAAATTTTTAAACAGCTAGAAATTTATGTATATAGTCAAACAAGAATAGTAAATACCTGATTTAAGCTCATAATAGTTTACTGCTGTTCTGAGATTTGAAAATGTGTCTTGGTCTGGATGGCTTCCTTTGTGTCTGTCTTCTTGCACATGCAAGGATTTTTTCTTGTGAATTAATTGAAAGTAAGTCACAAATAACTATGGTGGGTAGAAGTTTTGTACTTCAACAGTCTCACTATGGGTAGTTTTCATGTTTGTGACAGTCAAAATTTCACTAGATTTTCAAAGTTTGCCAGTTATTTTAGCATTGTTCATACCACAGACTAGAATGTAAGATGTGCATTTACTTTTAAGGTTCTCCATCTTTTAAATACATTTACAAGTACTCCTTTGGGATACCTTTTCCAGACAGTGTTAAAGGAGTTATTTTCTCTGCTCCTGTGCTGTTATAATAGGCATTGTGAGCTTTTCCTTTTGTCACACTTGAAGTGTGTTTCTTCAAAGGAGCTGGTCTGCACTTGTATTCATAATAATAAAAATACCAGCAAATACTAACTTTGAGCAGACTTCTGGCACCTACAATAGTATTTCTGGATTGGTCTTCAATTTGTGGCTTGGGCAGTCTGAGCCTATTAATTTCTTCAATAAAATATAGTTCTCATATGTTTTGAAAGTCATGGTTTTGAAGAATTACTAGTGAACCATCAGAGATACAAGGTATAGTTTGTTATACACAGAACATCTGATGGGAAGCAGACTGTATCTGCAGCTGTTTACTAGTTTGGAGAAAACATGATCTGATTCGGATGAGTACATTTTATTTGGCTGTATTAAACAGTTGTCTGCTCATTGATTGGATTAGATTTATTTATGCCATCCTTGCTGTTAGTGTGCTTTTGACAAACTTGAAGTGAAACTACATTACAAAAGAGATTATAGGCATGGGGGGAAAAAGCAATTTCTGAGTGGCCAGGGTTTCTTCAAAAATATTCTAAGACAGGTGCAAGTCATCAAAATACTGAAGGTTTTACATGGTTTGACTTGAAGAGCTGCATATGAGCAGAACTTCAAGGGCTGAGTGTATTCTGCTTTGAATCAAGTCTGTGTTGGAATTTCACATGAGAAGTCCATATGTCATAATGAGGCTGCATTTAGCAAGAATAAATGATGAAGTAGTAAAATGAAGTAGCATTAATAAACAAAATTATTTTTTTCCTAAGCATGTGTGAGAGTCTGTAGTTTGGACATATAGTGTCTGTAGAGTTTTCATTTAGTTTCTAGCCAATGCTGTACTTCCAGAACTATGTTGAAAGATTAACTATTTGTCCAGACTTGTTTATATATTGTTCAATGATGCTTTTCTTCATATAGGAGTATTTTATTTGGGTAAGCAATTTTTAGTCTGGCTGAAAATCTTCTGTAGCATTCTTTTTAGTATAGGTTGTCTCC